TTCTTTTCATCCTCTTTCGAAGTCAAGAACATCATTTTGTTGTAGGAACACGTTTTCAATGCGAAAAGATGAGTTATTAGTACGTATATGAAGTCTCGTGATTTTGACCTGACAAAAAAATTTCAAACGATTTTAGGAACGGTTAAACGTCATTTTAGACCCCAAGTATGTTCTGAAAAGTTGCTTAGAATTAAACAAAGAATCATTTTCCGGCCAGTCTCGTTGAAAAATTTTTTGATTGGTCGGTCTAATATATATTCTTATTCATCATAAATTTATATTACATAATAACAATTTAAAATATACCTTTTGAAGTTTTCTTTTCTTGCTCATCACAATCATCGTGTGTCATCGTTTTCTGCATGTTTAAACCTGACTGACTACTAATTAATAATTTATTAATCGGTTGGCTCAATGAATCGGATACATTTCCGCTTTCTATTGGTGAAATGTAATTGGAGGGCACTGTAATTGTAATCGTCTCTGGTTCATCTATAAATTTCCATAATTGTTACTTTTTATATTGTAACTTTAAAATATAAAATGTATTATACAAATTTGTTAAATACCTTCGTCGCTCGATGTATCATCAAAGAATTATCGTTTTTTGATAAGCCTCTTCTTTGAAGCATTTTTTGTTTGTGTCTGCCTAATAATATTGTCATCTGACGCAGATATATCGCTTATTGCTTTTTCTACCGACCGTGCATTTTGATACGTTTCTATAATATGTTTTCGAATATTATTTTCATTTCATATTTTAATGTAGGTTACACATGTATAAAACGAACCATAAGGACCAAAGCTCTTCTGATATATGAATTCATCTCAATCATCACATGGTAGCCATTCTTTCATGCAAGCTTGAGTAAGCTGTTTACATTTTTTCGGCATTTTAAATGTAGATCGCGCAAAGTCTATCCATTTAGTTGGTACTGTTATACTGTACGTATCATATAACACAACGTAAAACGCCATTCTGAAAAATTATATGTGTTATAAATGTTATTATTATAAATGTTGAAAAATAATTATCTTTGTACAGTAACGTACTATAAACGACGAAAAATAAGCAGCATGAGGACATTCTGTCTTCTTATTTTATTTTAATGATGAATGTAATAACGGCATGCAACACCAGGAAGTCTTTCAATGGAAGCTGAACGGCTTTATTTATTATTTCTGTAATTGACCACATCATTAGATCCGATAAATTTTTAACCACATATATATCCATATTTTGTGACTCGCAAGGATAGAAGCGCAAAGAATTTTTTGCCAAAAATTTTCTACCAATAATCACGGCTCTTTCTTCTTCGTTATAACAAATATATTCAATAACAACAATTGTTTTATCTTTGAGATAACAACAGTTGTCGGGGCTTGGGCCTCGTGGTGGCTTGTGCCCTCGCGTAAGTGGACGCGGTTTTTCCTTTCCTGGCTTGTGCCGAATTTTCTGTACGGTGCCGTGTGGGAGGCACCGAAACTTACCGTGGTAAGGTTTTATCAAGGCTTTCGTGTTTTTTGAGAATAGTTTATTTGGTACAAGAATTAGCTCGCGCTGCTTCTCCCTCAGAGATCCTACTACGACTGACTACTGACTCTTCCGTTACGAAAAAGACAGCGGTGGGGAGAAAGTACAAAAAACTAAAAACTAAGCGGGCGCTGGCGCGAGTCGGACACGAAAATACCTAGATAGGCGGGGAACGCGGGAAACTGAACGGAGCGCGCGTAGCGCGAACATACAGCCGCCCTTGAAAGTACTAACTTTCAATAACTAGAGTAGTATAAACTGGAACTTGATTGCGTACATAAGTAATCTTAATTAGTTTCGATAGGAAGAATACATAGACGGGTTATAGGACGCTTGAAAACGCTTTTACTCGTACGGACAGTAACGGTGCGAACAATTTTATCGTTACCAGGATGCAGTTCTATAATTCTGGCGAGAGGCCAGGTAAGCGGTGGCACATTATCTTCCTTTAAGAGGACTAACTGGCCAATCTGTACAGTATCTTGCTCGGTTCTCCACTTGCTTCGTTGCTGATGGTTGCTGACAGTGATGAAGATACTCGTGCGACCATCGTCGCCAAAATCGTTGACGCAATTGCTCGACATGCTGCCAACGAGACAAACGTTGCATAGGTAGCTCTTCTAAAGAAGGCTCTGGATAGGAGGTCAGAGAATTGCCCACCAAAAAATGTCCTGGTGTCAGTGAAGAGATATCAGCAGGATCGGATGACAAAAGCGTGAGGGGTCGAGAATTTAAAATAGCTTCAACTTGGATGAGCAAGGTTTGCAGTTCTTCGAAACTTAAGTGGGCATCCTTAGTTACCCGAAAGAGGTGACGCTTGGCAATCTTGACGGCAGCTTCCCAGAGACCACCATGATGAGGGGCTCGAGGAGGTATAAAGTGCCAATTGATTCTGTTGGCCGCCATGGAATCTATAATTTTTCGTTGAGTTTCTTGAGTGTTGAGTAATGCAGCCAAATCCTGTAATTCATGCTCGGCACCTATAAAGTTTAGACCTTTGTCGGAGAAAATGTCTGTTGGGTATCCTCTTCTGGAGATAAAGCGTTTTAAAACATTCAGGAAAGCTTCAGCCGACAAGTCCGCAGCCAACTCAATATGAACAGCTGTTGTCGCAAAGCAAACGAAAATGGCCATGTAGCATTTGAGAAGTTTAGCGGACCTCCTTGCTCCGTCCTTGTAGTAAAAAGGACCTGCGTAATCCACTCCACATTTTTCGAAAGTCCGAGCGGGCACGGTTACTCTAGATTTGGGAAGATTTCCCATGAGCGTAGAGGCAGATCTTGGCGAACTTCTAAAGCAGATCACGCATTTACGCGTGATTCTACGTACCGCATCTCTGGCGGAGACAAGCCAATAACGCTGACGAATGGCCGACAGGGTGGCTTGGGGGCCAGCATGAAGGTGTCTCTCGTGCTCGTGTTTGATAATGAGAGTAGATAAAGGATGACGTCCTGGCAGCAGCATTGGATATTTTGCGTTATATGGAAGTTGCGACAGTTTCAGGCGACCACCAACCCTCAAGATTCCTGCTTGATCAATAAATGGATTTAATGATAACACTGGGCTGTGCCTGGGAAGGTTCCGTTGGCTCGAGAGCAGTTCTAGTTCCGTTGAGAAGTTAGAATTTTGCACCATTTTTACGAGAACTTGTTCCGCGTATTCCAATTCGCTAGGCAAAATGGATTGATGCCTCTCATTGGTTAGATGTGATGGCGTATCTTTCGATATTTTGGTTCGCCGCTTTAATTGATTGTAAAATCTATAAATGTAGGATACAACTCTTAATAGTTTCGTGAACTTTGAAAATCGTTCGAAGATGTCGAATGATGATTCTGCGATGGTAAGTGCGGCAACGGCGGTGGCTTTGCGCTCGGGAAGTTGACTCTCGTCCACGATGTCAGAAAACCTTGGCCAACCTTCTTTATTGAGACCCAACCATAGCGGTCCCGACCACCATAGGGACGTCAGTCGAAGAGAACTTGGCATGACTCCCCTTGACATCGGCGGGATTGTCCTGACTGCTAACGTGGTGCCAGTCGCGGGTGGTCGTTAGATGCTGAATTTTACCAACCCTGTTGGCGACAAACGAGGTCCAGGTGCGGCTACAAGATTGGAGCCAGGCTAAAACAATTGTGGAGTCAGTCCATAAGTATATTGACTTCACGTCATGAACTAATCCCTTTGTGACCTTATCGACAAGTCGTGCCAATAGTAGCGCTGCGCACAATTTTAGGCGTGGTATGGATAAGCTCTTTAAGGGAGCTACTCGATTTTTTTAGCAGAGCAGCTGAGTAGAATGTGTCCCATCGTCGTTAGTTGAGCGTAAATAGATGCATGCGCCATAAGCGAGCTCGCTAGCATCTGAAAAGCCATGAAGTTCCAAAACGGTAGGTTTGTCTAATGTAATGACTCGTCGTGGTATAGCAATGTCCTTTAATGACGTTAGTTCAGCCTCATATTGCTTCCACTTGCTGTCCATATCCAACGGAATGGATTCATCCCAATCGATTTTGAGACGCCAAAGATCCTGCATGATGATTTTAGCAGTAACAGTAACAGGACCAAGCAGCCCAAGCGGATCGAATACTAAGGCAATCCTTGACAGAATACTCCTTTTGGTAGCCGTAGACAAACGTGGCGGGCGAGCGATGTCGGAAAATCTGAACTGATCAGCGGTGCAGTTCCAAACGAGACCCAAGGCTCTTGTTTCGCATGCCTTATCGCTGGAGGTAATGAATTCTTTTTCATGATGCAAGTCGCCATGAAGAGTTGGTTCATTGGATGCCCATTTGCACAATTCGAAATGCCCTTCTCGCAATAGCTGAGAGGTCTCTTCCTTGATGGAAAGTGCGCCTTGTAGAGTGTCCGCCCCAGTAACCAGGTCATCTACGTAGAAATCCCTTAAAACTATCTTGGAACCAATTGGATATTTGTCGGTGCTATCTTCCGCCAACTTCCGGAGGGATCGAATCGCCAAGAATGCAGCGGACGCTGTGCCGTAGGTGACGGTGAGAAGCTCGAAGGTACGGATCAGTTGATCTACAGAATCGCGCCATAGTATGCGCTGCAGCTGAGTTTGATTGGGATCGATTAGCACCTGTCTGTACATTTTCGTAATATCCGCCGTGAGAGCGTATTTAAAGGTGCGGAATCTGGCTAGTATGGTAAAGAGGTCGTCTTGGATCGTAGGACCGACCATCAATGCGTCGTTCAATGAGATTCCGGTGGTTGTTTTGCATGAGCCGTCAAAAACAATTCTCAATTTAGTTGAAGTACTGGTTTCCTTGTAGACCGCATGATGGGGAAAGTAGTAAATTGTGCCAGCAGATTTCACATGATCGGTGACCTCACGCATGTGCCCAAGTTGCAAAACTCCTGCATGAATTGCCTGTAATCTGAGTATAACTTGAGTGATTTTACAAGACGCTTTTCCAAAGATTTGAAGCGACGGGTGGCCGTCTCCTCAGAATCTCCAATATCCTTTAACTTGTCTGACTTGATGGGCAATCGGACCACGAAACGTCCCTCACTGTTACGTCTCACTGTATCCTTGTAGAGCTGTTCACAAGCTTGTGCTTCCGGCGATGCTTCAGGAGAGGTTATGAGATGGTCAAGCTCCCAAAATCGACTAATTGCTCGATTCAAATCCTCAGTCACTGCCAGACAACTAACAACTGGAGGAGCCAAAGGTTTGCTTGTGGTTGGGCCGGAAACAATCCATCCCAAGACTGTCTTTTGTAGGGTTGGCTGAGATCGAGAGGCTCGTATTTGGCCCGCACAAATCAATCTCCAAAATAGCTAGGCCCCAATTAACATATCGATGTCGGATGGGATGTTAAAATTAGGGTCAGCCAGCTTTATGTGGCTCGGTATGACAATATTTTGTTTGGCTATAAAACCTTGCGGTAACGGCTGAGTGATCTTTGACAATATTAGACATTCTATATTTTCGGCGAAATTATTGAACCGCGATTTAATACGCACGTTGATCATACGTTTTGCTTGTAAGACTCCTTGAACTACGCCGGAAATCGACGCATCGACTGAGCGTTCTCGTAGATGCAATTTGTCAGCGAAATCCTGTGTTATAAAATTTATTTGCAACCCGTTGTCTAATAGAGCGCGGCAAGAGTGAATCTCGTTGTTTGAATCATATACGCCTATAATAGCCGTTGACAATATGATGCTCGAAGAATGCTGAGTCGATAAACATTGAGTGACGACAAGTAGGGTAACATTCTCAGCTTCCTGAGGATTAGATTCGTTTGAAGCAGATGCCCCGCCGGCATCCGCTGCGCTCGCAAAATGCAACAATGTATTGTGCTTCTTTCCACACTTGCGACAAGCGCTCGATGTACAAGACACAGCCTGATGTGCTGTGGATCTAAGACAATTTATGCATAGATGGGCCTTTTTTACAAGTTGAACTCTTTTTTCAATTGGTAATTTGAGGAAGGCCGCACAATGATACAACTGATGGTTTTCTTTGCACTGTGGACACGACACATTAGATGTAGCGAGATTTGACACAGAGGAAGACTGTTTGTTTTATTGTTTGTAGAGGATTGGTTAATTGACAATTTGCTAAAAATTGTTTCGAGCGCTTGGCACCGTGCGGAAAGAAAATCTGTCAAAGACTTTAAGGTTGGGACGTCCTGGCCGGGAACACTGATTTCCCAAGCTTTACTAGTCGCAGTATCAAGTTTGGAGACGATAACGTGAATGATTAAGTCATCCCACGAATCAGTGGGTCTTTTCATGGCTTTAAGAGCACGCAAGTGACTCAAAGTGTTATCTAATAGTTCACGCAATTTAACATGATTCTCTTTGGTTAGCGCCGGTACCTCGAAGACAGCTCGGACGTGTTTTTGGATAAT